TCCTGTGTGGAGAAGCTCCTGGTCCAGGGGAAGATTAATGAGAAGGCCCTTCCTGCAGAGCCAACAAAGAGAGAAAGCCTTTCCCTGGAGCTGATGCCCTGAATTTGGACTTTAGCCTACTTCACTGTGAGGAAATAAATTTCCCTTAAAGCCATTCACTTGAAGTATTTCTGTTATAGCAGCAACAGATAACTAAGACAGTCAGGAATATGTTAAAATATTCTTTTTAAAAATATCTTAATGAAGATGAGTAAAAATTGCTCATTTCGATTTTCATCTGTCCTCTGTCTTCATGACATCACTACTTATTTGTTTTCGCACAAGCTTTCCAAATCTTTAGGGATTCACATGAACTTCTTTTTGAAGCCCTTTAATTTTTCTATATTGACTGGCTCTTTTATTAAAATAAATGACATTACTTTTGAAAAGCAGCGTAGTGTTCTTGTTAACAGCATGGGCTCTGTGGTCCCACAACTTGGATCCAGACCCTTGCCCTTCCAATTACCAGATGTATAACTTAGACAAGTGACATGACCCTTCTGAGCCTCAGTTTCCTCATCTATAAAATATGAATAATAATAGTATATATCTACATATCTCATAAGGTTGTCTGGAGAATTGAACAAATTATTACATGTAAAACAGAATTGTGCCTGGTACCTTATAAGTGTTTAATAATTGTTAGCTTGTGACATTACTTTTCTTCTAGTTCTCATATCTTTTCTATGATACTCTTATCATGTCCCTTTCCTTTTCTTGCTTCTCTCCCAGTGAAATATTATATTAAGTATACTCCCTCACTGGTTTACTGAATTCTCTAAACTTCTATGTCAATATAATCTTTCCATCATACCTAATACTTTCTTCAAAGTCTTCATATCACAGCATTGACCAAAAACTACCTCTTAGTCATTATCTCCAAACTTAGCTATCTCAGTAGGTCTTCCCCACTTCTATTATTTCTAAATTTTTGTCCAATAAGATGGTGCTGTGTTACATAAGAGCTCTCACTTACCCTTGCTGTAAGTGAACTATGGTTCTCATTAAACAACTACATTCAATAAGTACAACTTAATTAGAAATTTCTTGCTGCTAAATTATTCTCAGTTTTGCCATTCAGTTAGCAGGCAAATTTTGTGCTTGAAACTCTACTCACCTGGTGTCAGAATGAGGCACTGACCGCATCACTCATCAAGTAAGAGACAATATTAATAATGGTTCTTGGCTTCTTTAATGACAATGAGGAAGGCAAATGTCAGAGATAATTTTCTAATAGAACAGCAGCTGAAAGTTCTTCTTCACCCTTCTTTATGTGTTCTCCCCTGTATATTATTTTTTTTTTAACAAAAGCCATTCTCCATAACCTGATCCCAAACTTTGACTATGCTTATACCAAAGTAATTATCAACCCTTCAGTATTTAAGCTCATTAGTTCTGATGGACTAGAATGCTACAGGGAATTATATGCTTTTTAATATACAGAAAAGAATTGAAATTTGATTGAGAACACAAATCTTAAAAGAAGTTTCAAGCCCCATGTATGAGACAATGCCTATTGTATGAGATGAATCTAACTGTTTTACACAATTATCACAGGAGAACTAACAGGGTGAATAATGACAGCCACTTAAGTAAAGAGAATTATCATGTCCTAATCTGTGGTTAACAAATTGAAGAAGAAAGGCATTGCATTCACTGTCACAAAGAACATTTCAAGATCTATCCTGAAGAACAATATGCTCCGTGATAGGACAATATCCATACTACTACAAGGGAGACCAGTTAATATGACTATTATTCAAATTTACACACCAAACATTAAGGCCAAAGATGAGAAAACTGAAGATTTTTACCAACTTCTGCAGTCTGAAATTGATCAAACACGCAATCATGATGCAGTGAAAATTACTGGTAATGTGAAAGTTGGAAACAAAGAAGTATTAGTGGTTGGAAAATATGGCCTTGGTGATAGAAACGATGCTGGAGATCTCATGCTAGAATTTTCAAGATCAACAACTTTTTCATTGCAAATACCGTTTTTCAACAACATAAATGGCAACTAAACAGAGCTCACCAGATGTAATACACAGGAATCAAATCGACTACATCTGTGGAAAGAGATGATGGGAAAGCTCAATATCAGTCAGAACAAGGCCAGTGGCTAAATGCAGAACAGACCATCAATTGCTCATATGCAAGTTCAAGCTGAAGCTGAAGAAAATTAAAACAAGTCCACGAGAGCCAATGTACGACCTTGAGTATATCCCATCTGAATTTAGAGACCATCTCAGGAATAGATTTGATGCACTGAACCCTAATGACCAAAGACTAGACAAGCTGTGGAATGATATCAAAGTCATCATACATGAAGAAATCAAAAGGTCATTAAAAAGACAAGAAAGAAAGAAAAGACCAAAATGGATATCAGAAGAGACTCTGAAACTTTCTCTTGAACGTAAAGTAGCTAAAGTGAATGGAAGAAATGATGAAGTAAAAGAGCTGAACAGAAGACTTCAAAGCGCAGCTTGAGAACACAAAGTAGTATTATAATGAAGTGTGCACAGACCCAGAGTTAGAAAAACAAAAGAAAGAACACACTGGGAATTTCCTAAGCTGAAAGAACAGAAGAAAAAATTCAAGCCTCAAGTTGCAATACTGAATAATGCAGGAAGCATCAAAACAAGATGGAAAGAATACACGGAGTCACTGCACCAAAAAGAATTGGTCAGTGTTCAACCATTTCAGGAGGTAGTATATAATCAAGAACTGATGGTACTGAAGGAGGAATTCTATGCTGCCCTGAAGGCATTGGTGGAAAGCAAGGCTCCAGGAATTGATGGAATATCAATCGAGATGTTTCAACACCTGGATACGATGTTGGAAGTGCTCACTTCTCTGTGCTAAGAAATGTGGAAGAGAGTTACCTGGCCAACTGACTGGAAGAGATTCATATTTGTTCTCATTCCTAAGAAAGGTGACCCAACAGAATGCTGAAATTATCAAACAATATCATTAATATCACATACACAAGTAAAATTTTGCTGAAGATAATTCCTAAGTGGTTGTAGCAGTACACCTACTGGGAAGTGCCAGAGATTCAGGCCAGATTCAGAAGAGAATGTGGAACAAGGGGTATCATTTGCTGATATCAGATGTGATCTTGGCTAAAAGCAGAGAATACCAGAAAGATGTTTACCTGTGTTTTATTGACTATGCAAAGGTATTTGATTGTGTAAATCATTACAAATTGTGTATAACACTGGGAAAAATGGGAATTCCAGAAGACTTAACTGTACTCATGTGGAACCTGTACATAGACCGTGAGGCAGTTGTTTCAACAAAACAAGGGGATACTACGTGGCTTAAAATAAGGAAAGGTGTGTGTCAGGGTTGTGTCCTTTCACCATACTTATTCAATCCGTATGCTGAGCAAATAATCTGAGGAAGTGGACTATATGTAGAAGAACATGGCATCAAGATTGGAGGAAGACTCATTAACAACCTGCAATATGCAGAAGACATAACCTTGCTTGCTGAAAGCGAAGAAGACTCGAACCACTTACTGATAAAATCAAAGACTACAGCCTTCAGTATGGATTACACTTCAACATAAAGAAAACAAAAATCCTCACAACTGAACCAATAAGCAATGTCATGATAAGTGGAGACAAGATTGACTTTGTCAATGATTTCATTTGACTTGGATCCACAATCAACACCTATGGAAGCAGCAGTCAAGAAATTAAACAATGTATTGTATTAGGCAAATTTGCTACAAAAGACCTCTTTAAAGTGTTGAAAAGCAAAGATGTCACTTTGAGGGCTAAGGTGCGCCTGACCCAAGCCGTGGTGTTTTCAATCGCCTCAGATGAATGTGACAACTTGACAATGAATAAGGAAGACCGAAGAAGAATTGATGCCTTTGAATTATGGCGTTGGTGAAGAATACTTAATACACCACGGACTCCCAGAAGAACAAACAAATCTGTCTTGGAAGAAGTACAGTCAGAATGCTCCTTAGAAGCAAGGATGACTAAACTTTGTCTCATGTACTTTGGACATGTTATCAGGAAGAACCAGTCCCTAGAGAGAGACATCGTGCTTGATAATATAGAAGGTCAGCAAAAAAGAAGAAGATCCTCGATGAGATGGATTTGACACAGTGGCTGTAACAAAGGGCTCAAACACAGCAATGATTGTGAGGATGGCACAGGACCAGGAAGTGTTTCGTTTGGTTGTACACAGGTTTGCTATGAGTCGGAACCAACTCGACGGCACCTAACACGCGTAACACATACAATGCGTAGCTTGTAAAATTAGATTATTAAAATCAAAACTTAGACATGAAGCAGTACAAAATATTAAAAGAAATGAGTTTATCTTCTAGTGGTTTCAAAATAAGTAAATAACTTGGGTTTTCATCAAATTATTTCATTTATTGACTATGCAAAGAAATAACTGATTTTAATAGTATAATTAATTATGAACAAACACAAATATTACCAAAACTACTGCTAAGCGATTGCTATGTATTTTGTCCAGAACAGTTTTACTCTGTAGAATGTTTATTTCTGTCTTGCAGCACAAGCTTTTCAAAATGAATTACATTTGAAAAAAGCACATTAAAAAAGGATACACTAGTACATTTAAGGGAAAAAATTGCTGATGTTTCAAGTTATTTTCTATCAAGAATGAAATACAGCACAATGGTCATTTTGTAGAGTTCATTAATGAAATTGGGAAGAGATTATTAATCTCCGGAGTGTTCAATTGAACTTGCAGTGGAAATTGATCAATCTTCTCCATATTCAGAAACACCCTACAGCTACTATTGATCAAGAGTTTGGGACACTGATTATAACACATACCTAAAACAAATAGCACATGAGACAGAAATTGTTTTAAAGGATTTCCTAATTTTAAAACATATATACTATTTAGCTTAATAGATGAAGTCTTAGGTATGAGATTTTATTGTGAAGATCCACAGGAGAACATACCTGGCAAGGCTGAAGGCGTCGTCGATCAAACCTGCTCGGTTACTGACAGAGAGAACCTATGAGGTCAACCAGAAAAAAATTTTACTACTTAGAATTAAAATGGCAAGCATTCACGTATCAAAACAGATCTTTGATGAGAAAATCCAGAGTTTACCTCATGGTTCCTTATTAATTGTTCAATTAATAATCTCCAATTCCTTAGGTCATAGTTGACCCTAAAGTAGCCAGTTTGATTGATGTTCCCCAGCAACCAGTTTCCTTTGTCCAAAGAAGTTATTCTGTGGTGCTCTAAAAACAGCATTTTTTTTTCAGGATAAAATAGATTTAAAATTTTAAGGGTTAAAATGGCATATATTTTCTTAATACCAGATGTCAACAGTAACAATAATGAAAAGAGAACACCGTCCTAAATATCTAATTGAAATTTTCTGTTTAAATCAATCATCTGCATCTAGAATTTGCTAGAAAATCTTTAGTTGATTATAATGAACATTTTTGTTCTATATACAATTTTTTCTCAACATAAATGTAACCTAAAAATTTACTGATGTGTTTATGTGGTTTATATTTAAATTATATATGCATATATGGCTAAAATAAAGGAAAAGTTTTGAGGCACATATTCTACTCATTTTATTCAGTCAGAAAGTCATTAAAAACAATAGAGCTCATTTATTTGAAAGTCACTGCTGTTCCTTGCCTTTTTCTTCTGCTTTCTTGGAAGCACAATAAATAATAGACTTTCCAGCATCATCAATAATGCTGGAAAAAGGAACCTCATTTATTCAAGACTCTGTATTTCTACATATAATTAGAAACAAAAATAATAAATTCTGCTTATTGGAATTATTTTGGAAAATAGTAACTTGATTATGTTAGCCAGCTAATTCAATTAAAGGAAGCCAGTAAAAACAATCTTATAACTTCTTACATATTTAACTCCTTTAAATACGGCACAGGTAAAAACTCCATTCACTTTTTAAATTTACCTTTATTGACTTCGTCAAACCACAGGTCACAATTATAATGATTTTGTATCTTGTTGATGTTTTCAGAACTCGTGTGTCCTAGAAGTTGCATACTGTTTTAAGTTGGCTGTGTGTGTGTATGTACACACACACACAAA